CTGAACATGTGTACTATGTTATTGTATTGAAAGTCAACTTGACTTCATTCATGTACAGTATAAAACATTTTTGAAAAGCTGATAAGAATCTGATTTTGACATATACACTGGCATGTAGCGATTATAGCGGTCCTGTCTTCGCTTATTGAATTGTTACGAAGTTACGTATGCGGTGCGGAAGTTAGAGAGCAAATGACCATCATTTCAATGTAATAGTTTATGCAGGAAAATTGAGATTAGGCCATTGAAGTATTTGTTTCATGCATTTGTAAAACATTACCCACTCATAGGTCATACTTATCATTAAACCAATAACTCAAATATATGCCCTTGTACACCGATCACCTGTTGAAATTAATACAGGCCGATTTCAACAAATGTAAACGGCGATATATTTAAAATCGTATTCAAGCATGACCACGTCCCAACTTCTTTTGTTTTCTTTACAACTAAGCTATGACTGCAGTCTATTCAGTGTTGCGTATCGAACCTTGTTTATTATAAAAATAGTGCAACAACAAGCAGAATTCACACATTTACCTTATACTTATTCTCAACTGAAGACATTGAATTTATCTCTTAGGTTTTACATTATAAATATCTTAACATGCAGAATACGAAAATAGAGGCTTAGGCCCAACTTTGTATGAATTTTATGAGAATAATCTGATTTTAGAGAAATGAAAAGAAAAATGTCCACACCCTACACAAAATATTTATGGTTCCCCGGGAATACGTATGCGTTGCTTGTATATTAGAATCGTATTCCAGTTACAGAAAGAAGTACATATCATGCTAAACTATACAACAGTTATGCACTGAGAGGTTTTGGATACAGGGAATATCCCGAGGGATATATAATATATCTTAAGATATATTGTATATCCCTCGGGATATTCCCTGTATCCAAAATCTCCCAGTGCATAACCCCTACATATATATTTATCGTCTATTATCCTATGACAAGTAGAGTAGAGAAAAAAATTAAAAAATTGAAAAATTCAAAAAAGGAAATAAGATTAATTTTTTAGAAAACTACTTGGTATATGATAAAGCAGATATGTGTGGTCAGTTTGGATACGGGGTTTATCCCTCATGAGATATGCACGTCTACCTTCGGTCCCTATGGTCCATCAGGTAGATATAGAGATTATCCTATATGAGGTTCAGGATATTGGGATTACGATTATGATATATCTGTCCGAGGGCCGCAGGTCCTGAGGGAAAATATGTTGTATTCCATACCTGATGAGGTTTCAGGGACATATCAACCGGGAATATATTCCATATCCGGCAAATATTATTTGTATGTCCCGCTCCATCGGAGCTCCGGGACATATAAATCGTATGTTCTGCTCAAAAAAAAATTTGAAAAAAAATTTGGGAAAAAAATTTAAAAATAAAAATTTGAAAAAAAATTTTGGAAAATATTCTGAAAAAAATTATGCCAAAAAAGGTGAAAAATATTTTGAAAAAAAAAAATGTTGAAAAAAAATTGAAAAAAACGTGGAAAAAAATTATGCTAAAAAAATATTGAAAAAAATTTGAAAAAAAATTTTTGAAAAAAATGTAAAAACAATTTGGGAAACAAAATGTGAAACATTTTTGAAAAAAATTTGAAAAAATTGTGGAAGAAAATTATGCTAAAGAAATATTGAAAAAAATTGAAAAAAACTTTTTGAAAATATTCTGAAATAAATTATGCCAAAAAATGTGAAAAAAAATTGGAAAAAAATGTGAAAAAAATTTGGGAAAAAAATTTCATTTTTGAAAAAAATTGAAAACAAATTTGGAAAAAAATTGAATTTTTTTGAAAATGATAACATATTTTGCAAGTAAACACACCAGAGCATATGGGATACATGCTTATTATTTCAAACCTCATCAGGTATGGAATACAACAGTTATGCACGGTCGGTTTGGATACTGGAAGTATCCCTTGGGATATACAATACTTCGGTCCCTCGGGAAGATATATTGTATATCCCTCGGGATATTCCCTATATCCAAAACCTCCCAGTGCATAACCCCTATATATTGGCCAAGGGATAATCCCAATATCCTGAACTGACTATAGGATAATATGTTTATCCCATACCAATCTTGGTCATCTGGTTCACATTGTTAAATCGTGGAAATATTTTAGAATATTCATGTCCAGTTTTGTTTTCTTGGCCGTGGGCGGATTTTCACGTTCTCTCAAATATTCCCATATTTATATCCATTGCCGTTTACAGTCATTCCGCGAACGTTACAAATTATGAACAAATATGCAAGCGGCGATTTTGACATAGCGGGCAGATATACTATATCTGCCCGCTCGGAGCGGGACGTATAGAGGATATCCTATGATTTATGAGTGATATGATTTTTATCCACGAATGGATATGATATCTGCACGAGCGAGCGTAGCGAGAGAGTGCAGATATCAATATCCATGAGTGGATTAAAATCATATCACGAGTAAATCATAGGATGTTCTTTTTATTCCATAGTTAAAGTCATCATCAAAATCGTCGGAAATTAAGTTATTTAATTCGAATTTCCAAACGATCTGGCGATGTTGACACTTAGCCTCGTTTTGAGTCTGAAGTAGCAAAAATCCATAAACCATCGCATACGACGTCGTATGTCATGGCTAAAAAACCGTATGTTATGGTTAAGTGAAAATATCATATTTTACCACTGATTACAAAAATACCGTTTTTATTTTCACATGTTATCCTATGAATATCATGCTAACTATGGAATAAAAAGCTTTATCACATGGTTGCAATGATATAGATCGAATATCACATGATGATATATTTGATATGTGGATCAAGATATCATATTTTAGCAAATAATTTACCAACCATCGAATATCACTTATAAACTATCGAATATCACGTCTTAAAAAGTGATATTCGATGGTTTGAAAAGTGATATTCGATGGTTTCGAATTTTTAAAAAAATGAATTTTGAATATTTGATGACGTAAATCAAGATAATTTCTACTCACATCTTGTCTATTCCACAGGTTTGGAAAAAGTGTACAGGAAAATCTCCATGTTCAATTGATGTATGATCAATATACAGATATACGAATCGAATGTATTCTCGTGTGCATTACAATATCCACATTGAAACATTTTTGGCCTGCAATGGACGTATAATGAATTAGAATATGAGGCCGTGTTATCATTCAAATGTAAAGTCATGGTATTGGGTTGCAAGTTAATATCAGATTCAATGCAAATTAATCATTTAATATCAGATGCGCGATCAGTCCAATAATGTAATTTCAGGTCATCAGTTCGATATCTAGCAGTTGTTCTAACGATACGGTATTACTAGGCTATCATATTATAAATACACACACATATAAATAAATCAAACTGGTACACGATATAAGCACGACTGCTCTTTCAATTGAGTATAAATGTTGATAAACTTACCCGGAAGCCAACACATACACGTTTAGACGATGCTATTTTCAGTTCAGTGTAAGAGTAAATGCCTGGATATTGAAGCTCTTTCGTGTAAAGTTTTAACCAAGCATGTAGAATCAGGTTATATTGCGTGTAGAATTTATCGATATCAGGGCCGCTACGTGCCAGTGATATAAGTAGTGTCTCACTTTTAGGTGGCATTTACTTTTAAACACATTTAACATTTAGCTTTATAATTATTATTTATTCACTATTAAATTATACAAAAACTTTATTGTTATGTCACCACCACAAGTGGTGACATTGTTATAGTCTACAACTTTTTTTGTGGATGGTGTCCAGAAGTCAGTGTTGAGCATCTGGAATAAATGGCAGGTGGTGACATTTTGCATGTTAATGCCTTCTTATTTTATTGTGTCTGGAATTTCAGATGGAAAAATGGTATTACTTGCACTGATATAATGAAATACCAGTTTACATTCTCTGGTGATACATCCTTTTCCAGTCTTGTGTTCTTTGGATTAGTTCACATTTAAAGGTTTTGACAATCAGATGGGTCAAATGATGAATAAAATATAGAGAAGCCATCTGCCGTCCATTTGTGGCTGGGTGATAACTCGAATATTGGTCCACAGATTTCATTCAAAGAAGCTGATCATTTTTCATAAACAGTTCAAGTAAAGTTCAAATATGAGTGATTAGATTTGATTTAGATTTCAAACATTTATCTAGGTCTCAGATCAAAATCAAAAAGCAGTCCAATTTTAAGATGTTCCAAATCTATCGAACTTGGTATAAAATTTTCTCAGGATTCAAAATCTGAAATCAAAATTTTGATTCGACTTCCAGTTCAGGAGCTATGACCTTTTGAAATCACAAAAAAGCCCACTGCTGCCACCAAATTATTAAATTAGCGATAATCAACACATAATCATTTTTTACTGAATCCATCCAAATTTATAATTTTAATTAAATTAATAGGAAATATGCTCTGGATTCAGAATCTGAAATCAAAATTGAGATCCAACTTCCGGTTGACCTACTTTGACCATTTGAAGTAAAAAATCATTTTTTTAAATCAGGTTGCGATATGAACTAAAACAACTCAATAAAAGATTTACTTTCCTGCTGTCTCAAGATCTGCTTGGGACTATACCATTGGATTTCTATTGGAAATTCCTCCAAGAGAATATTCTAAAACAGCATTTATATATCATTATTCAAAAACGTTGATTATCAATGATTCCCTCCTGCCCCCTGAAGTTTGGAAAATAATTGGGTGATAATCCATAGATTATCCTTGAAAATAAGAAATTTTTGGGGATTATATGGTGCAATCATATAGTCAATAAAATGTTTCAAAGTTTATTGATGTTTTTTAGATGAAAAACATAAGCGAAATTCATGAAAAAACTTCCCTGACTCATACTTTCTACAAACAGCTCCAGGTCTTTTGAGAGAAATATACAGCGTAAAATATAGGCATAAGCAGTACTATGTAGATTTTATATATCAATTTTGTGAAGCTATGGCCACCAAATGTGACTGAGGCTTCAGTGTTACATTGTTTCACAATACCTTTGCAACCTGTATGTCTTCCCAGAAGAATGCACGATCCATTTCAGAACATTCCTTTACCTTATCATGTTCAATAACAACAGCTGATCCCACAAGATCCTCTGGCCAAGTTTTAGGGAGACCCTTAAGACACAAAAAGAGAATGTTTCCATGTTGTTTAACAATTTTAGCAGCAGCTCGTAGGGTTGCATTATGATTGTTGAGGGTCATCAAATCAGTGACATTTGACAGGCCCATTGCATCAAACTTTGGCTGATTTAATGTTGGATATGTCTTAAAGTAATTCATCATCTCTCCATGTAACCATTTAATGCGCCCGATTCTGTCTTTCAGAACCTCAAAATTCTCTTCTTGTAGATACTCCCTTAGTGGAGTGATGACACCCTGTTTCCATGTGAACATGTATTCCATGAAGTAGCTTTGATTCATAGGTGTCGTTTTCACCTTGTTCAGAAAATGTTGTAAAAAAATGTTGGGGTAATCGAGAGCTGGCATTATATCTGTATTGATACCTATGAATGACCAATAACCAAGCCTTCGGTATGCTCGTCTGAAGACATCACCATCAATGACATCTTGAAAGTATCGTCTCTGTTCATTCATATCATCGCCCATTGATAGGAATGTTTCTATTTGGTTGGGACTCAGCGCAACATTCATGGCATTCTCTGCAAAAATTTTGAATCTCTGCTCAAAATCTCCACAATTGATTATCCCTTGCTTTATATCCGATGTATTAGCATTCCAATACTCACGTACATCAGCTTCCAGTGCTCCTTTTATGGAGTTAAAAATTATGACTCGTTCTTCTGGTTTCATATTTTTAACTCCAACAAAGTCAATGAACTCTTGATATGATAGATATTTGATGCATGCTGCCTGTAGTTTTGCCAAGTGCAGCTGCGGAATGGAAATATCAAGTGCCACAACTTCAGCTGGATCATCGAGTAGGAGAGTCATTGCATTTCCACCACCAGATGCAAGTGTAAAGACTCGATCACCACTTTTGATATCAAGGCCATGCCTTATCGATCTTATATCTTCCCAACTCTGGAAAAAATAAGCTCCCATGTGTAACGGTTATTAGCCAATTGAATAGAAAATATGTATGCTTCACATTTCGCATATTTCTATTTCACTGGGGAGTATCGTGCAAAAACATTGTGACATCACCATTCAAAGGTCATGCGACAACCATAATTTTATATCTCCTCGAAATCAAAATATGCTGCTGACCACTGAATCTCGAGTTTCATTCATGTACCACTAAGGGGCGTGGTCAAAATATCGATGTTCATATGGAGACGAAAGTACTTTAACGAGGGGGGAGGGGGTTTTTGGGCACTTTCATTGACCAAAAAAACATCGATAATTCGGATCTGATATACAAAAAATAATTGGACTTACCCACTTTTTCTGGTGCTATGTTCTGATAAAAAGGCTTGTTTTCAATAGTTCGTGAGCTTTTTTGTGTGATAGGTCCAAAATATTGGTAGATAGAGACGATAATTCGATCATTTTTCAAATAAATTCCGTACTTTTCCCTCCTCCTTTTGAAGAGTTCAATGCAGTTAAATTGCGAACGTGTGTTAATTCACCGTAATTATAACTCGGCAAATAGGATACGATTATGCCTCTCATTTGACATTTCTATCAGGAAAAATACTGAAAATCAATGTTTTTTTGAAGTGACCTAAGCTTTCGTCTAGAGGGTGGAGGGGGGTTGTTGTCCAAACGAAATTACTTTCGTCTCCATATGAACATTGATATTTTGACCCCGCCCCTAATACACATGTAAACATGAATATATGTTTCTAATGTTATTCAGTAATACATTATATTGGCGTTTTTGCATCAGCTCATTTTTGTATCATTGATTAACAAACAGAGTGGTGTTTTTGCATCAAAAGCAATGAACTACAATGTAAAACCATGAATTTCTCGTTTTTTGGTGATGCTAAATGTACACTAAGAACATTTCTTAAAATTATAGATCGTGTCCTAACTGCACCTATACGATTAGGGAAAAAATCGTCCAAGAAATGGGTTTAAATTAGGATAACAAAATGTCTTTCAAAAATCTATAAGTGGAAGGCTGGCCATCTTGATGCAAAAACACAGTGTTTTCACATTACGTTACTCCCCTAACTTTGGGGAATTTTGGTCTTAAGTAATTCAGATGATTGTGAGTCTGAGATCAAATAAAATTGTGATGATGCAAGAATCGAGTTTGAGAGTGATACAGTGCATCTGACATCAGGTTATGAGTATAGATTCATTGATCTTAGTCTCGTGAAAAAATCATGAAATTTGAACTTGTTATCATTTGAGATAAATTCTAAAACATTTCAACAAGACAATCCAATGTTAGCAATTAATTCTCTACATCACAAGGGAACACACAAGATTATGTTTTAAAATTAAACAACCTGCATGATCACCATCAATAGAACAAAAATGTTCAAGTAAAGAACTCATGCCTTACCATGCTGAACAGTATCCTCTCATTCTGACCAAGATGTACTGGGGGTACTTCCTCCCCCTCTGAGTAGGTGCGACATGCAACATGTCTTAATGCGCTCCCAAATGTATTCCTTGCTAAAAACCTGTTTGTAAACCGTAGAATCGCCATTGTTCTATCTTATCTATCTTCATATAAGTCTGCTTAAACTTGAACTGCTCCTGAATATCATGTAGTGAGTTTACAGGGTGGTCCAAAAAAAAGTGAACCCCTGCAACGGGCCATATTTCCCTTATTACCTTCAGGAATTCTTTCATATTTTCACATGTTGTAGAGGAAGGTCTAAAATTTTTGTTAATACCATACATTTTTCTTAGTCTTGAAATTTGCAGAAATTATAAGCCGTAACCAAATATTACTGAAAATGGATAAAATGTGATCTTCAACATCCGCGATTCTTCAACCTATCAACACATTTCCCCTGACAATTTTTTAGCTGCAGTCTTAAAGAGCTATTATTTTCTGACTTTGTTTGGTTTTGAATAACACACATTATGGCGTTAACACTAGCATCCTACCTCTGTTAGTTGCAAAGATATTGCGATCCAAAAAATGTTCTAAGTTTCCATAGACGAACATTTTTCCCAGCAAAATCGCAACATACCCCTATATGATCTTAAAATGTCAATATCTTCATAATCATGGACCAATTCTAGTGAATTATGGCTCAAAACATTGAATATTAGATTTGCTTTTGATTTTCTAAAGATATTTGATGAAGGGCTTCTCAGACTCCTGGTCACAGGGGGCAACTTTGGCCCCCTCTATCCATGTGTGTAGGTAACATGCCCCTTAACTGTTGAACAATTAAAACTGCTTCAAAATAATCAATGAAAGTGTGAAATGTGTTTTCTGCTCAAATAGTATCCCATTTGTCATATGGTAGGGTCTTAAACTTGTATCTCTAACTGAAAGCTATTTTATTTAAAAATACCTAACATGTTTCAACAATTTCCATAAATTACGTTGGTAAATTTTGCACAGTCTAATTTTCAGGCAAGTTCATTTAAGTCTTGTAATTTCTTGAAAATATAAGACTGAGAATAAATTATGGCATCATCAAAAATTTTAGACCTTTCTCTACAACATGTGAAAATATGAGGCAATTCATGCAAGTATTAAGGAAAATATAGCCTGTTGCAGGGGTTCACTTTTTTTGGACCACCCTGTATATGTAGTTTGGTAGAAATTTAGGCCAGACAGTTTGCATGTCGATTTGAATATATCCATCAAATCTGATTGGCTACCGAAGTGTCTCAGTATATTCGCGTGGTTTCTAGTCTGAAACCGAAGCTGGATAATCTGTTGTACGCAAACATTAGTTTCAAAATTGAGAATTGAGACTTGTTTTTCACGATTATCTTTATTACTTCTACTAGGAACCGTTTGATATCGATCTGATGTTCTACATCAATATAATCATTTAATGATATAGATCAAAGTTTTTCATCCAAAAGTCGTCAGAGCTAAGGAGAAATGTTATAAAAAACAAAAAGTTCACGACCTTGACGATCGCTGGTTGGTAAAATGTGAAAACAACTCTTAATTTGAGTATTTCTTTCATTCATTTCTGAAAATTTTGGTATAACATTAGTAAAGAATTGTGTGAAAAGGACCCAATGATAGATATTTATTGGGAGAATTCATAGAATTACAATAAATGTCATTTTTATCCCGTTTTAGCGTAAACACTCTATTATCGTCCACTTTACTTTCACTTTAATAAATAATATGAGGGACGCAAAAGAATTAGACGGGACTCACATTTTTCAAATGGGTTGCGTCCATGGGACTCAAATAGCTAGCGCGAACACTGTCATATGTTACTCAGACCTTGCAAGTAAACTATAAACAATATTTATGGTCTGAATATTTGTTGCATTCAAATGAACATAAATCATTTTTTAGTTTTGGGTAAACTCTTGATCCTGGTGAAAGATATAATGTGTTTGACTGTGTATTATGTTATAGCACTTTGAATATATTGTATTGAAAGTCAACTTGACTTCATTGATGTACAGTATAAAACATTTTTGAAAAGCTGATAAGAATTGGATTTTGACACATGCATAAGTATTGTCTCACTTTTAGGTGGCATTTACTTTTAAACACATTTAACATTTAGCTTTATAATTATTATTTATTCATTATTTATAAATTTTTAATTATTTATAAATACAAATACTTCATTGTTATGGCACCACCACAAGTGGTTGCATTGCTATAGTATACAACATTTTTGTGGATGGTATCCTGAAGTCAGTGGTCAGCATCTGGAATAAATGGCAGGTGGTGACATTTTGCATGTTAATGCCTTGCTATTTTATTGTGTCTGGGATTTCAGATGAAAAAATGTAATTACTTGCACTGATATAATGCAATACCTTTACATTCTCCAGTGATACACCCTTTACCAGTCTTGTGTTGTTTGGATTAGTTCTCTTCACAGTTAAAGGTTTTTGATAATCAGATGAGTCGAATGATGAATAAAATATAGAAAAGCCATCTGCCTGTCCATTTGTGGCTGGGTGATAACTCAAATATTAGTCAACAGATTTCATTCAAAGAAGCTGATCATTTTTCATAAAAAGTTCAAGTAAAGTTCAAATATGAGTGATTAGATTTGATTTAAATTTCTAATATTTATCTAGTTCTTAGATCAAAAAGCAGTCCAATTTTAAGATGTTCCAAGTCTATCAGAATTGGTATCAAATTTCCACTGCTGCCACCAAATTATTAAATTATTAAATTAGCGATAATCAACACATAATCGTTTTTTACTAAATCCATCCAAATTGGTATCATTTTGATAGGAATATGCTCTGGATTCAGCATCTGAAACCAAAATTGAGATCCAACTTCCGGTTGACCTACTTTGACCTTTTGAAGTAAAAAAACATTTTTTTAAATCAGGTCGCGATATAAACTAAAACAACCCAATAAAAGATTTACTTTCCTGCTGTCTCAAGATCTGCTTAGGACTATACCATTGGATTTCTATTGGAAATTCCTCCAAGAGAATATTCTAGGGATTTAGAATGCGTTCAGTTTACACAATTTGAGAAATTATTGGCATACATGAAACCAATTTAAAACAGCATTTATATTATTCAAAAGTGTTGATTATCAATGATGTCCAGCCCTCTGAAGTTTGAAAAATAATAATGGGTGATAATCCATAGATAATCCTTGAAAATAAAAAATTTTTGGGGATTATATGGTGCAATCATATAGTCAATAAAATGTTTCAAAGTTTATTGAAGCGAAATGCATAAAAAACGTCCCTGATTCATACATTCTACACCTCTTGGTCTTTTGAGAGATATATGCAGCGTAAAATATAGACATAAGCAGTACTATGTAGATTTTCTATATCGATTTTGTAAAGCTATGGCCACTGAATGTGACTGAGGCTTCAGTGTTACATTGTTTCACAATACCTTTGCAACCTGTATGTCTTCCCAGAAGAAAGAACGATCCATTTCGGAACACTCCTTTACTTTATCATGTTCAATAACAACAGCTGATCCCACAAGATCCTCTGGCCAGGTTTTAGGGAGACCCTTAACACACAAAAAGAGAATGTTTCCATGTTGTTTAACAACTTTAGGAGCAGCTCGTAGGGTTGTATTATGATTGCTGAGTGTCATCAAATCAGTGACATTGGACAGGCCCATAGCGTCAAACTTTGGCTGATTTAGTGTTGGAAATGTCTTGAAGTAGTTCATCATCTCTCCATGTAACCATTTCATGCGCCCGATTCTGTCTTTCAGAACATCAAAATTCTCTTCTTGTAGGTACTCCCTTAGCGGAGTGAGGACACCCTGTTTCCATGTGAAAATGTATTCCATGAAGTAGCTTTGATTCATAGGTGTCGTCTTCACCTTTTTGAGAAAATGTTGTAAAAAAATGTTGGGGTAATCGAGAGCTGGCATTATATCCGTATTGGTACCTATGAATGCCCAATAACCAAGCCTTCGGTATGCTCGCCTGAAGACTTCACCATCAATGACATCTTGAAAGTATCGTCTCTGTTCATTCATATCGTCGCCCATTGATAGGAATGTTTCTATTTGGTTGGGACTCAGCGCAACATTCATGGCATTCTCTGCAAACATTTTGAATCTATGCTCAAAATCTCCACAATTGATTATCCCTTGGTTTATATCTGATGTATTAGCATTCCAATACTCACGCACGTCAGGATCCAGTGCTCCTTTTATGGAGTTAAAAATTCTGACACGTTCTTCTGGTTTCATATTTTTAACTCCAACAAAGTCAATGAACTCTTGATATGATAGATATTTGATGCATGCTGCCTGTAGTTTTGCCAAGTGCAGCTGCGGAATGGAAAAATCAAGTGCCACGACTTCAGCTGGATCATCGAGTAGGAGAGTCATCGCATTGCCGCCACCGGATGCAAGTGTAAAGATTCGATCACCACTTTTGATTTCAAGGCCATGTCTTATCGATCTTATATCTTCCCAATTCTGGAAAAAATAAGCTCCCATGTGTAATGGTTATGATTAGCCAATTGAATAGAAAAATATGTATGCTTCACCTTTTACAAATTTCTGTTTGGGGTACACTAGATTTGTAACTTGGGGGATTTTTGGAATCAAGTAATTCGGATGATTGTGGGTCTGAGATCAAATAAGATTGTAATGATGCAAGAATAGAGTATGAGAGTGATACAGTGCATCTGACATCAGGTTATGAGTATAGATTCATTGATCTTAGTCTCGTGAAAAAATCATGAAGTTTGAACTTGTAATCAATCGAGATAAATTCTAAAACATGTCAACGAGACACACAGATGACGACATTAGCACTTCTCAACACCAGTAGGGAACACACAAGATATCCACACATTTAAAAATTAAACAGCACCATCAATAGAACAATAAATGTTCAAGTAAAGAACTCATGCCTTACCATGCTGAATAGTATCTTTTCATTCTGACCAAGATGTACTGGGGGTACTTCCTCCCCCTCTGAGTAGGTGCGACATGCAACATGTCTTAATGCTCTCCCAAATATATTCCTCGCTAAAAACCTGTTTGTAAACCGTAGAATCGACATTGTTCTATCTTATCTTTTCTGCTCAAATATGAACTGCTTATGAATATCAAGTAGTGAGTTCCTATGTAGTTTGATATTAGGTCAAGTAAAATGTACCATTGAGATCTACAGTACAGCAATGAATTATATATTTGTACAGGGTGACACAAAAAATGACACCCACCTTACGTTGCATAACTTGTTTGTCAATCACCATATAGACTTGTCATTTGGTACATTTTAAGTAGACAATGTGAAAGCACCTCGAGAAATTGATATGATAGATTTGTAGCTCAAGTGGGTCAAGCGTGAGCGTTTCAATATATTCTCACTTTTGAGACTTTCTCACTAGCCGCAGATCTGAGATTGAGTAGGTACCCCATTCCTTTGATATGACCCCACCAGATATTTACATTTGGGGGTACTTAATTGTATTGTATTAAACATACCATACAATCTTGGGGTACTTAAAAGACCATGAGTATGAGACCAACATCCCCCCAAACCATACCTGACTTAAGGAGAGAAGGAAGATCAGGGCCATATCTCAATGTGTAAGGGTAATCAACAACTTTGTCCGTAGAATTCAAGTTTGCCTGCAAAGGAGTGGACATCATATGGAATATATTGAAACGCTCATAAAATTTGACCCACTTGGGCTACACATCTGTAGATTCCCATGTGCTTTTGCATTATGTCTACTTTAAATGTGTTAAAGGACAAGTGTATCGGACAAATAAGTTATGCAATGTAAGGTGGTTGTCATTTTTTGTGATGATGAACAAAATATAGAGAAACCCTATGTCCATCCATTTGTGGCATGGTGAGATCTCAAATATTGCATTCAAAGTAGCTGATAATTTTTCATAAAAAGTTCAAGTAAATTTCATCTATGAGTTATATCAGATTGATTTAAATTTCTTAGATTTTGGACCTCGTGGATATAATGGGATCTTTGCTCGAGGAGGATTTTCCATTAGGAATGCTTGATAAGGTTTTGTTTGGTTCAGGATTTGCTACTCCATGGAGTTGCTGTTTTCCTAATTCAAATTAATTATTGTTGGTGCCAAAAAGGACTCAGTGAAAGGTACCATACAAAGTGCAATAAATAAAATTAAAATATTTAGTTTCTATATACATACACTTTATGTATACTATGTTTATTAAGCAAGATGAGTAAGGATCCAGCAGGCTTATTGTAATTACATGTGGAATCATCCTCCTAAGCAGATGTCCAGAATCTGTACCTCATAAAAAGGTATTCTGGATTTTGGAGCCCTGCTTACGGAGAATGATGTAGAGTAGATTAGACAGGTATATAAGTAACATGCATTTTTTTATTTATACTACATATGTTAATTGTTACAGAAGAAACTTTAATTAATTTAATTCAAAATTTGTTTCAAATGTGGATTATTTTGCTCTCTGAATGTTTTCTTTTCTAATTCCAAACTTTCTTCTTTAATATCTGAATAATAGTACAATAACGTCATTTCTAAGGGCAATATAGTGATATCTAATTTCCCGGGGAAAATTGCCCGTCCAGAATATATTCTAGACCGGTCCATATGGACCACCACTTTGAAGTCACACATTTCTCAGGTCGATATAGTAAAATGAATGCCTTCTAAACTAGCACTAAAACCCCTAGAACTGGCTCGGCAAGGTGGTAATAATTCACATTATTCCCTTGGGATGATGCAGAAGTCAATAATCAGTTCATTGGTGAACAATTGTAAAATGTTACTCGGCTTTATATTTTTTGGACAAATGGGTGAACTTCTTTATGATGAACTTGATGAAGTAAATTATAATGCCACTGAAGGCACATGCAAGACCCACAAATAGTCCGATAACATCCAGCAACAAATATTGAAATATGTTCAAGTTGTTAGCGCCCTGTGATTGCAGGTGGGGTGCTCCTTTGTGACGTATAACATATTCAACCCAATATGCAACCTTGTCCTTTGGGCTAATAGGTTGACTATGATATATAGCAGCAGCATTCTTTGCGTTTTCCTTATAGCTGGTGTTATACAGAACCTCTGTCATCGCTGATTGAAGCAGTTCGCTTGTTAAGTCCCTCATATTGATGGTTTTGAGCGAACCAACACGATTGGCTAGTTTTTCACAGTTGTATAGTTGATCAGCTATAAATGGGATGCCAACACTTGGGACTGCACTGTTGAGGGCTTCAAATGTTGCTGATACACCACAGTGTTGCACAAACAGTTTCACATTACTGTGTGCCAGTAAATCACTTTGTGGTATCCATTCACTGATGAATGTATTATCTCCAAGTTGTTTCGGTTTCGGCCCATCATAGCTCCAGATAACTGTTTGATTCATAGAGGCGAATGCTTCTGCAAAAACTTCTGCCATATCCATTGGTAATTTACGAAATAATGATCCAAAACTTGCAACAATGACACCATGGTTGTTAGCTTTTTCAACAATGTCCCTAAATATTCCACTCAGAGGTTCAACTTTGTCCAGGAAGAAACCTTCCACAGATATTATGTGGGGCATGAACGGGGCAGGGTAATGAAGTGCATCATTTCTGTTCATCAGGACGAGAGATACAGTTTTAGGGAAGTCTACGATATTATCACAAGCCTCAGTTTTTATGTGTTTATAGTTTAAGCAAACCTGTTTCACCTTTTCTTGCGCTGCAGCTGCATAGTATTGAAAACGAAGGAATTCCCATGTGTTAGAAAATCGTTCCCATATATCCATTGTATCACTTAAATGAGAGTTTGTAAAGTCTGTTGGTATATATGATGGGTTGATAGGGTATATGAAATCATGCGCCATTGGTCCCCAGTTAGAATACGCAATAACTGGAACATTGAAGTGGCCACCTAGGACCCTGCCAAAGTAATTATTAGCATCAGCAATGATCACATCAAATGATTGCTCAGACAATTTTCTCCATGTGTCCATATCTCAAATGACATTATTTAACATTTCTGGGTAAATGTGCGGCCAAAACATCCTAACGGCATCAGACCATGCTAAACCTATGAATGAGTTTACCCAGTCCATGTTATCTGTTGCTTGTGCTTTCTCAGGATCTACTGGTGGAACGTCGTATGTTATCACATTGAATCTGTTAACAGTGTCCGCCATGTTCTTCCCAGTTAACTTGAACAGTTTCATGTTATGGAGGTCACTGTTGTAAAGGAAGTAAATCTCATGTCCTCTTTGCTGGAGAATATCTCCCAATTTGATCATGTTTGATACACGACTGTTATATCCTACGTCCACGGGAGCTATTCATGCCTGTAGCGACCGGGGGTTCGAGGGGTTCGTGCGAACCCCCGGTCAAAATTTCCCAAAGATTTCCCGGGAGTCATTTTTAACAGGAATTCATAAATTCAACGATCCATCGCGTGTTCGTGTTTTTAGACAGATGGTCCCGTTCGTATTTTTAACGTGATATTTTCCGATTATGCATCGTTGTTCATCGGTAATTTCCGTATAGCCCACGTAATCGAATTTAGGCCGTTTGATTGGTTTAGAGTTAGACCGGCGCCATATTTATTATTTACTAAAAGTTTTGTCGAAGAATTATACGACCATAGCTATACAATAAGTTAAGAAAGATATTTGAACTTAGAAGCAGTCTGTACGCTCTCGAATTTTATCTCTTTAGCTCATAGATCGTTCGCTATTGAGCTTTCAAGTTCTCGTAAGGAGGTATATCCAGAATTATGGCAATGTCTATACTTTCTATAAGCTTACATTGTCTATACTTTCTATACTTTCGATCTGCTTTTTCATACTATCTGCCTTCGACGTTTCTATACTTTCTATACTTTCGAACTGCTTTTTCATTCCATCTGCCTTTGACAAGTCAGATGTCTATAGTTTCTATACTTTCGAAATGTCCTTTCATACTAACTGCCTTTGACAAAGCAGATGTCTATAGTTTCTATACTTTCTATACTTTCGATCTGCTTTTTCCTATAACTGTCTTAGACAAATCAGATGTCTATAGTTTCTATAGATTCTATACTTTCTATCTGCTATTTCCCAGAACTGTCTTCGACATATCAGATGTCTATACTTTCTATACTTTCGATCTGCTTTTTCCCATAACTGTCTTCGACAAATCAGATGTCTACAGTTTCTATACTTTCTATCTGCTTTTCCCAAAAATGTCTTTGACAAATTAGATGTCTATAGTTTCTATACTTTCTATCTGCTATTTCCCAGAACTATATTCGACATATCAGATGCATTCGATCTGCTTTTTCCCAGAAATGTCTAAAGTTTCTATACTTTCCATACTTTCGATCTGCTTTTCCCCATAACTGTCTTCGACAAATCAGATGTCTATAGTTTCTATACTTTCTATACTTTCGATATGCTTTTTCATTCCATCTGCCTTTGACAAGTCAGATGTCTATAGTTTCTATACTTTCGAAATGTCCTTTCATACTAACTGCCTTTGACAAAGCAGATGTCTATAGTTTCTATACTTTCTATACTTTCGATCTGCTTTTTCCTATAACTGTCTTAGACAAATCAGATGTCTATAGTTTCTATAGATTCTATACTTTCTATCTGCTATTTCCCAGAACTGTCTTCGACATATCAGATGTCTATACTTTCTATACTTTCGATCTGCTTTTTCCCATAACTGTCTTCGACAAATCAGATGTCTACAGTTTCTATACTTTCTATCTGCTTTTCCCAAAAATGTCTTTGACAAATTAGATGTCTATAGTTTCTATACTTTCTATCTGCTATTTCCCAGAACTATATTCGACATATCAGATGCATTCGATCTGCTTTTTCCCAGAAATGTCTAAAGTTTCTATACTTTCCATACTTTCGATCTGCTTTTCCCCATAACTGTCTTCGACAAATCAGATGTCTATAGTTTCTATACTTTCTATACTTTCGATATGCTTTTCCCCATAACTGTCTTCTTTATTTACAAAATCGAAAGTGACCAAGAAACTTATGACGTCACATATTGTTTTACAATGTATAGAAAGTATCGAAAGTATCAGAAGTATCGAAAGTATAGACATAGGGAATTCACCAAAATCAAAAGTATAGACAGTATAGAAAGTATAGACATGTATAGACTTTAGAGAGTCCAATCATCTAAGACTGAAAAAAGTATCATTTAAAAAAAGCAGTTTGAAAGTATAGAAAGTATAGAATATGCCATAATTTTGGATATACATGCTCGTAAGAGACAGATTTTTGAATTTTTTATCTTTAATTTTAAGGTCAGGGTGCATGATGGGAAATTTTCTGCATTCCTCAATTGAGTCACATGTTATTTTTCAAACAAGAATCACTCCTTCCCCACATTGTCTATATCTTCCAGTTTTGCACAAAGAGTGCACTTATGTGCCTAGAAAAGATTTGTGAGAAGGATGTTTTGATAAAGTGTATAAAAAACAAGAAAATTCAGTGAAAAAAAACAGAAAATTTTCAGAAATTTTTTTCACTGAGTTTTCTCATTTTTATACATTTTACAAAACAAACCTTCTCACAAGGCTTTTCTAGGCACATAAGTGCACTCTTTGTGCAAACTTGGAAGATGTAGACAATGTGGGGAAGGAATTATTCTTGTTTGAAAAATAACATGTGACTCAATTGAGGAATGCAGAACATTTCCCAACATGCACCCTGTCCTTAAATTTTTATTTTTATAATTTTATTTTAATAATTTTCATTCTCAATTGTGGCCAATCCATTAAAAATGTACGGGGTATGAATGCGAAATTCTGGGGGATGATCCTGAAGAGAAAAATTCTGGGGTATGGATGCAAAATTTTGAGGGGGATGTGGATGCAAAATTCTGAGGGGGGTATGGATGTGTATACACTTATATTAGTGCTGGTATATTTTTAGTAGAAGGTAAAATAAAATTTATAACAAACTAAGCTTTTTATGTTACTTCATACACCTTAAGAGGCAAAATCAAAGCATGGGATATTTGAAGTGAAAAGGGAAGTGTGCGCCGCGCGTGCGCGCCAAAATTCACACAAAATTTTCAAAAAGTAGAACCCCACTTGAAAAATCCTGGCTACGGGCCTGCTATTAGAATGTTTGCTCCATTGCAGTATGCAAAAACATGGAACAGAAATAAAAAATACATTTTAGTCATGTTCTGACTTTTTATAATGGTTTACTTCTTTGCCAGTATGATTCAATATTTTATTTGCTCTTAACACTGTTATTGGACCCCATTTTTTAGGTTTATAGTTATTTATTACAACTGCTTAAATATTCATACAGCTGAATAAGAGCAGCAGACACTTTACGGTGAACTTTTGACCTTTAATGAGAGGTTTATGGTTAGTAGAGGGAATCACTCTTTAGCTGGTTTACATTTTGTGTAATAAAAAAGATGATTTATTTTTAGAACAAGACAGAATAAAATACACTAAGGGAAGTCAGAAGACTTCTTGAATTAATGGCTAGAACTTTCTACTCAGAGTGCCAGTGTGAGTTAGCTTATTATGTCACCACCAAAAAGTGGTGACATATTGTAATGGTCTCCGTTTTTTGATGGCGGTTGGTGGTTGGCGTCTATAACAAATTCTTACAACTTCTAATAACTTAACAAATACTGTCTAGACTGACTTCTATTTTTTTTCAAAATCATCTACAAGTTTTCAGAAGTTCAAATCTGACTTTATATTTAAGATTTGACCTTCAGTGACCTGAAAGGTCAAAAAGGTCTTTTTTCAACTTGCTTCAAATCGACAGATTTTTTTTCAAAATCATCTACAAGTTCTCAAAAGTTCAAATCTGATTTTAGATTTGAGATTTCACGTTCAATGACCTTCTCAGGTTCAAAAAGGTCTTTTTTCAACTTGCTTCAAATTGACCGATTTATTTTTCCAAATCATCTACAAGTTCTCAGAAATTCAAATCTGACTTAAGATTGAACTCATGATATTATGAGCAACTAGGTGGTGACATTTTGTCATGTTAATGCCTTGTTCTAAGTTACCACCAGAAGCACGGAGGGGGAGTAGGCGATTTCTGCAAGAAAAGACTAGTCTCGGTTTAGAGAACAAAGTTCATCAGTCTACTGCATGTTACGCCTGCTTTGGACAATTTCGATATTTTTACATCTTGTAGATTTTAATGTCCTCTTTTGAATATCCATAATTTAATTTGGGTGACATTTCTATATTTTTCATAAAATAATTATTAGCCTAGAAGACTGTTCTTCAAACCAAGACTTGTCCTTTCAACAAATCTGGAAGATTTATTTTTTCAAGAGAAAGTTTACTTCTGAATTGCAAAATGAATAGGTGCACATTATGTAAGGGATAAACAATGAGTCTTGGGTATGAATCTTTTACTCAAAATAACTCATTAACTAATTCCATGTTTTTCAACCTTTTTGGGGTATTACTGGGCCTTTTATTTAAATTTTAGGCCAGATAATCAAGAAATGGGCCTTAAATTCTCAAATTTGGGCCCACTTTTTTCAGACATTTTTCAGACTTATGTTATGCCCCGGTGGTGGGCCGAGAAAAACAATAGGGCCCAAAACTTTTAGTGGCCCAATTAGTGAGCCTTTTTGGGCCATTACTGGGCCTATTTTTAAATTTTTGGCAAAATGATCAAGAAATTGGCCTTAAATTATCAAAATTTGGGCCTGCTTTTTCAGATATTTTTCAGACTTATATTATGCCCCCCCCCCCTCCCCCTTGTTGGCTCCCAGATCCACCCCTGCCTTGTACAGGGGTCAAGAAAACAAATAATGAAATTAGCAAAAACAGTTTCATTCATGTATACATATTATTTTAACATTATTTTTATCCCAATATTTTTCAGGGAGAGAACAAAGAGAAGAAGGGAAACAAAGAGAAAACCACAACTGTTCAGAAGCCTCCTGGGGGTGTAGTAAGTTCATCAACTTTCCTTAATAGATAAGTCTTGCATCAAGCCCTTGTGTACCCCTCCACTTACACGCATACTTTCTACACTGGGCAAAGGAGCTAATATAGTTGGGGAAGGGGATATAAGCTTGGTGCAAGACTATTGATAAGTCAGATATAAGAATGGATATAAATATTAAGAATGATCTATATGCACTGTGGTGAAAAATGTATAAGTTGTCAAAAATGTAGTGATCAAATCATATATCTGCTTGTTATTTCACCACCAGAAGTGACAGGTTGCTGTTATGTCACCACCAGAAGTGACATGTTGTTATAGTCTCCAATTTTTTTGTGGCCAGTTTTGGCAGTTAGTGTCTGTAACGGCAGTCAGTGTCTGTAACAAATGGCAGGTGGTGACATTTTGCATGTTAATGCCTTGTCAATATTGAAGTGATTATAGTGATGTCATCACATTGCAAGGGAAAAAAAACAACAAAGCTTTCAAATAAAGTCATCTATTGTCAAAACAAAAGTGTAAAAGCATGTAAATCAGTGGCCAAATTGAACACCCGAATGAACCATTGTGTCAAGTAATTGTAGCTTATCATGCATGTTTTCTTGTATTTATAGGGCTTAAACAAAGAGAAGGAGTCTGCTATTGACCTTGATCTTGGTCCTGCAATAGACTCTAAGAATTATAAAGTTATCAAAGAGGTGAATATTAAAAACCAACAGGCTTAATTTGAAAAATATAACAGGCACAATATATACCCTGATAAAGTTTATTTGCATGTCAAACCCAAAGACAAACCCTTATGTCAAATATGAAATACATGTATAGTGTTGGTCTACTGTACCGGGCTCTCACCAATAGACTAGATTTGGAGAAAGGCTCATGCCAATAAAGTTGACCCTTCAATTATGGTGACACATCATTGGTCAGTTGCAATGAACAAAATCTAACATAGTCCGAGTTGACAATATTGTAAGACTCAAAGAAGGATACACATCATTTTAACAATCATAATGAATAGAAAAAGATCAGCCTTCAGTGAAATATGTTAATTGAATGTATGAATTATGTCATGATGTGGATTTTGTCATGTGGTATGTATGAATTTTGTCATGTGGTATGTATGAATTTTGTCATGTGGTATGTGGTATGGATGAATTTTGTTATGTGTTATGTATGAATTTTTGTCATGTGGTATGTATGAATTTTTGTCATGCGGTATGTATGAATTTTGTTATGCAGTATATATGAATAGTGTCATGTGGTATATGAATAGTGTCATGTGGTATATGAAAAGTGTCATGTGGTATATGATATATTGTCATGTGGTATATGATATAGTGTCATGTGGTTAAGTGAGATGAGAGATGATGATCGGTGTCTGATGAGGATATTTTTCAACTCTGCACCATTCCATTGGATTTGTATGTATTTTCTGCTACTTTTCAATACCCTTATCGTAGTCTCTAATGAAATAATAGGCCTGATTTTTCCATTTAGATTCTACAACGCCTGAACAGACTGTGTGTTTCAAGTAGCAAAAAGCCCAAGAAGCATGAACAGAGGCTGCTGCGAAATATGGGGGCACATGTCGTTGTACTAGAGCTATTACAAATACCCTATGAAAAGGTATGATTTTAATTATTTATATTTATTTGTATTGTACTTTCATTTACATAAAATATATCACCAAAAAATCAAATCAATAATTGTCATTATTGACAAAACAGACTTTGGAAATACAAATAATTTTATTTGAAAATGTTTTTTTTTTTTTTTTGCCAGTCTGTTAATACCTCTGTTGGATTTAAGATATGAGACAATGATAGTCATGATGACATTATTACTAATGGAAAGGGTGGAATGAATGAAACGATGAACTTGTACCTAATATACATGTATGTAGACTCACTGATGCCTTGAACAGGGGTCACAAGGTTTCATGCTCTACCCACCTTAATGTCTGATATTGATGATTTTTCATGTTACAAATTCGATAGAAATTTTTCCAAAAGCATAACCTAATGTAACTTGAACATGAGTATCACAATTTATGCTTATCATTTTAGAGTGATTTTATGTTTCACATATCAGAGTAAGTTTTTCTAGAAACATAGCAAATTGTAACTTGGAAACGAGTTTCACATTTTCACATTTTAGGCTTCCCATTTCAGAGTGTAATAACATGATGTAACTTGGACATGAGTCACATTTTCACATTTTATGTTTCAGAGTGATGACATCAGGATGCATGAAGTGATGCGGCTTGCCCATGAGTTCCTTCAGAGTTTCTGTCTTGGAAATACTTCCAACCAAACCCTGCTACACAAGAACCTTGACTTGTTTTTAAGCCCAGGGGTAAGCAATTAAAATATGCCTCAAGATTTTTCATTTTTCTTTGGTGTTTTTCATGTCACCACCACATATTGTTGTAATCTCTTTTTTGTGGATGGTGTTGAGTGGCTGGTGCTTGGCATTTGACTGTTGGTGTTAGGCAGTTGGCATTTGTAACAAATGACAGGTGGTGACATTTTGCATGTAAATGCCTTATTATCCCAACGAACGAAGTTCGGTAGGGATATAGTGAAGCCCTCTGTCCGTCAGTCCGTCAGTCTGTCAGTCTGTCAGTCCGTCAGTCAGTCAGTCCGTCCGTCCGTCCGTCTGTCCGTCCGGAAGATAACTCAAATATTAGTAGACGGATTTTCGATCCCTTCAAAGTATGGCTATATTATACTCAAATTGAAGGAATTTTGGAGTAGATCACAATTATGCTATTATTTTTCAGATTTGTACCTCAGAAAATTCAAAATGGCTGCTTTGCAGGAATTCGCAATTCTAAAATCTAAATTTTTCAATTTTAACCAAAGTAATGAGTATAATTGATTGGAATTCAGTAATTGATATTTTGTTCGTTGGGATTTGCTACTCCGCGGAGTTGCCATTATCTAGTTTTCTTAATTTTTCATACATAATCACATTCTTAACCACTCTCTCTTTTACTAGACATCAGATAATACATGCATGAGGGTAGTTGTTGTTAGGTCTTTTACCATTTTTATCTCAAGTCTTGTAGCAAATATCTCATTCCTCTCTATCACCTTAACTCAGAGTGGGATCTCTCGTTGGTGTTTTAAAGGGTTCAACTATTTGAGTGAAGGGGCTCCACAAGGGGTTAAAGCAAGCTACATTGAAACATGTATTTTTAGAGTTGTCATATATTGTGACAATGATTAATGATTTGTGTTTGGTTGATTTAGATGTAACACTAGATTATAATTACAATTTTCATAAAGGGTATTGGTTTAATAAGCAAATAGTACTAGTATATAAATCACAAACCCTTGCATTTAGATTTGCTTATATTATCATCCATTTTATGTTTGTCTATACATTATTTACATAGATAACAAAAGTTATTTATTTCGTTATCTTGATTTCTTGTGTAAATCCTTCAGCAAGCTCCTGACATCAAAATGTCATGTTTTTAGAAATATTCTATATTTAGAGGTTATGTCACTATCGTGGCATATATGCCTGAGGTCTCAGTGATATATGGCCCGACCTTGGGAGGGACATTGATCTCTGAGAACCGAGGGAATATGTGCCGCGATAGTGACATAAACAATTTATAACATACCTATGATGATGTAGACTGGTCAGAGAGTACCGTTTTCTTATAGAATTGACAAACAAATGGTTTGAAAATGATTGAAATGAGTTTAGAAAAATTGCTCGCACAGTTTTATCTTAGATTGATTGGTTATGACGTCAGCGCCTTGACCAATCAGTAAAGCCAAATAGCTGATTAAATCAAAGTTATTTCAATAGAAAATTACATATTGTACAGAATTCAAATATGCCATCAAAATCAAATGTAAAAATGTTGATCTTTAGTGGTTAAAAATTCAAATCTCATTTCAAAGCTATTTAACAAATCCTCCATTGAAAAAGTAGAAGTCCCCATCAGGCCCATAGCTAAGGGCGTCTGGCCAAAAATTCTTTCAAATTCATGCAGTATTTCAACCCCTGGAATTTTTGTGAGCCCTTTTAGCAAAAACAGGCTACAGCCCTTCCCTCATAAATTTTTATCATGTAACCTTAAAAACATAGTTTTTAGAATTGCCATGAAAAGTTAACTGCCAAAACACTTTCATCCAAAGTGTCTGCCACATTTCAGAAAGATGAAAATGTTATCATTTATTAGATTTGGTATTATGCCCTGTGGGTATAATAGGACCTCTACCTGAGAAGGCGTTTCTAATATGGTGTATTTGTCATGTCATGGGAGTAGATTTTGAAAGAGAAACTACTACCTGGTTATTAATATCATGAAACGTTTACAACGATGAATGATTTTATTTGATATGTTTTGTATGTGGGATCTGCTACTCAGAGGAGTTGCTGTTTTACTTGTTCCTCATTGATTTAGAAAGCAATACCACGGTGTATAACCCAAACGCTCCTACATGCACGACGGAGCGTTACATTTACGCGGAAACGCTCCGGAGCGAAATAAAATGGCGGCTAATGAAGATTCCACTATGACCGTAAGTATTGTTTCTCTCGTTTCTCTTACATATCATATGTTATGGTGAAATATTATGTACCATTCGATGAACAATACCGTGAGCAAAGATCTTATTTATTCAACTTCTGGTGGTAAACTGTTATTTGCTTGATCAAAGCTCCGTAGTGTAGATCGAACGAATCTGAAGATGACGTTTTGACCACAAATTACGAATTAAACTAGTATTTCTATGAAAACGTTAATCTTTCTGTTAAAGTAGTAGATCACAAACTCGTATATTCTCATTTCCTAAAATCCCAGTCCAAATCCATTACTTGTTCTCGAGAAATCGCTTGTTTTCCTCGAAACGCTCCGTCGATTTAGAACACAATTTTAGAAACGCTCTTACCGTTTTGTTTTGATATCATTTTCAGATTATTAGAGTAGAGTCCCGAATCGAATCTATCTCTTAAAAACGTGTTGTACTTGTTAGGCAAATTGAAACATCTGAACCTGGTGGTGCTAAACGTGCAACTAGCTGATTTAAGCCTATACATTAGATGATGTCATGCCTACATATGTGCTAAATCATAATACTATAGAAAAAAACGAAAATTTATATGTGAATTAATCTTTCTTCTATTGATGCCAAGGGGTATAATGGATCTTTTCTTTCTCTTCCTGAAAAGGAAAGGCAAGCTATATATTTCCTAAACTGATCTAGACTACCGGAGCGTTTCCAGTTCACTGTGTTAATCAGATCGGAGCGTTTCTTGAATATGAGAATGTCATCATTTTTAAGACTGGATTTTCGGTCATCAAATCAGTATTACGATAATGTATGGTGCGTTGAAGCATTGGAATTTGACTAAAATATACGTTGGTGCTCTAATCTTGGCTCAACTAATCACATGTATCGACAAAAGGGGTTTTGACCGGTAGAATGACAAATACGTTTTTGAATTTTGATAACTATACTGCTTCGTATAGCTCTTCCTAATTGCTTCAAACTTCAACAGCCAGCCACGTACAACATGAATATCACACCCATCGAATGGTATACTCGAAATATGTAACTCATACCTCTTATTCCCATTATTGGGGAAATCGTCAGACGGCTCATCATTCCCGCCAGCCAGTTTTCCTACTCCGGAGCGTTTCTTTGTTTAATTTCAGTAATGAAACGCTCCGTCGTGCATGTAGGAGCGTTTGGGTTATACACCGTGAATACTAGACTATAAAATCTGAACCTACAACTTTATGTCTTATATTCTGTAGCTATCGGCTTGTATTTAAAGGTGAAGCTAGATGGCATAAGAAGGCATTTTATCTCCGGTGTTTTAAAGCTAATCCATTACAGTAACCAAAAATAACAAAGCAACGTCATGTGTGCTATTACAAAAGAGATAATAACGCAAAGGAAGATTAATGATGATGAATTAAATGGAAAATCACTCAATTAATGTACTACACTCTTAAGGGATTAGTTGTTTTGCAACAGCATGGGATTGAAATCTGTAAAATGGAACAATTATGAATAAAATAACAACAATCAAACAATACTTCAGGGAATTTATGGATGAATGAGTGACTTAAAATGTATGTATTGTTTTTAAGAGGAAAGGATCGTTTATAATAAAGCTACTCCGTTGAATTAGCGAACAGATCGTAGTTATTGTTACTAGCAGCTTTTATTGGCAGATTAACCCGTTATTTAGGTTGCGTTCGGTTTTAAGGCGAGAGTTTGCAATTAATAGGGTGCCTGGCAGGTACGATTCATATTTAAATGAATTTGCCATCTAATTGCAATCAACCTGCTAGCCACTAGCCTTTTTTTTTCATTTGCGAATACAAGCTAATAATAGTATGAGTGTATCAGGATAAGCCAATTGTTATTTGTATGGGACATCCCACCCACTGTTACTTAGTTGCTATTACACAAATGCAAATTTTTCAACAAAGTTTGATTACATATTTGATTAGTATAATCATGCTAATCTTGGGACGGACCCAATTGTTTTTGAAATAACTTAAATATACAAGTATTTGTGTCATGTTGAGCTTAATATAAGCCGTATATGTAATAAGGCTGGTGAAACTTGGATATCAGTTATAAGCAACCAACATCTCGGGATATATCAAATAAGAAATTTATCATCTACTGTAAATGAACACTTATTCGGCAATTTTCATAATAAAAGGGAGACCATCCGTATCTGCCCACAGAAAGGATATTGATTTCATATTCATGAAAGATACATTAATGGATCTCATTTCTCTGCGTCACTAAGGTGAACAGATGGACAAAATGGCAGTTACAGCAGACAGTGTGACTACAATTCAAACAAGAAATGAGACAGTCATAGACAATTCTACTTCTTATGACAATATTATATTCTGCATTATGGGATCTGTTGGATTTTGTGGAAATATCCTCGTGGTTTTCATTTTCTTGAGATCAAAAATCCAAAGACGTAGGATTACAAATATGTTGATTATGAACCAAAGCACGATTGATATGACCGTGTCACTGTTCGTTATCTTCAATCATGTTTTTGATGATTACGGGTTGATCACGGAACCTGGAGTCGTTGCTGAACTATACTGTAAACTTTGGCTTTCACAATATACATTATGGGGAACAATGATTGTCTCAACATTCAATCTTATGGCTTTGACGTTTGAACGCTATTTTGCAGTAATTCACCCCCTTACATATAAGCTAAAGTTCACGCGTCGAAAAGCTTCAGTTGCCATAGTTCTAGTGTGGGTCTGTGGATTAACCTATTCAAGCTTCAACATATGGACGACTTACTTAGATGATATAACATGTAAACCTTGGACTGGATAC